GTTGTGGGAAACCAGGAAACCAATATTCAGAGCAAGAGACAGACCGCTTCTTTATGGTGGAGGAAGCCGTTGCGAAAGGAAGCGAGAGAGGGTGGGAAGGGAAGACTTCGGGGTTCTCTCCCCCTCGCCTCTCAAATACAGCCCTGGGCTGGACAGGACAGCCCCAGGACAACCCTGATAAAAGAAAGATCCCAAATGAGGTGCCTGTCACACCAGCCCCGAGCTACGTGGGCAGGGACCTGGAAATGCTGCAGGACCCCGGGCCCCCCACTGCCGGGAGGAATGTAGACCCTCCTATCCATCCCTTGGGTTGATTGGCTGAAAGGCACGCATGTTACTGAAGATATTGGCCCATGTCCCCCTGCACCTGTCGGGAAGTTGAATTCTGTTTTTTAATAGTCAGGCAAGAAATGAAGCCCGGCCCAGCCTGACACTCCCAACTCTGCCCCTATAGAAGCAGGTGGGTGGGCGGATTGAAGCCCCTCAGATGAGGGAAGCCTGAGGCCTGGGGTTACTGGGGCCGGTGCTCCCTGGGTGGTGTGCGAAGGGGGAGGCTCAGTGGGATGAAGGGGAGGGAAGGGGAGCGGTCGCCCTCAGATCAGCCTTGAGAGGGACGCCGCCATATTCTGATGAAGCCCTCCCCTCCCCGACTCAGGAGCACTCAGTGGCTCCCTATTGCCTGCAAACCAAGGCTCAAAGTCCCCTACCCGCTCTTCTTCCCCCGTCTGCCTTTCCTGCCTCGGTCCCTCCTCCTGCACTCATGTGCCTAGTGACTTGAGCCAAGGAAACTTGCTGTTTCCCCAGGTTGTCCATAGCTTGCACCCTGGGCCTTTGCTCCTGCAGGCCCCCATGGCCCAGAGTTCCCCCTCCCTCATCCTGAGAATCTTCCGGAACCTCCTACAAACGCCTCACGCCCTCCGCAAGGCAGATGGCCATTCTCCCATCAAATGTGGTTGGCTGACTCATCTCTGCTCCCCTGGCCCCGATTAGACAGAACATCTTGGAGGCAGGGCCCTGTTCATCCCGAATTTCCTGCACTTACCCCAGAGCCTGGCCCCAGAGCTGATCGTATGGTCTGGCATGTGGCTGAGGCTCAAATGATATTTGGGGAATGAATGAATGAATGAATGAATGAATGAAAAAGGCTGTGCCCTGAGCAAGGTCCCTGAGCTGTTTGCTCTGCATCACCACCCCCTGACACATCCCTGGAATTGATTGGGTAAATATTTATTATTCCAACTCCTCAGATTTCGAAATGCCCTTTTGGAACCTTAAACCGATACATAAAAAGACTCCGTGCAGGATACCTAATCCCCCCCCCTCCGCCCCCAGAGCGGTGCCTGGGCCTCCTTCTCGTCTTCTTTGCTGCTCTCCTGTGGGGTCCCGGATTTGTGTGGCCCTTGTGACACCCCTTGTTCTTTTGGTTATTCGCTCTGCCATTCAACAAAGAGTCACGAGGCGGGGATTGGCCACTGGCCCGGGAACTGGGGCATCTCCCCAGGGGCAGAGGGGGCGCGTGAGATCTGGACTGGAGCTTGGAGGGGTGTGGTCCCAGCTTTCCCACCAACCCTGTGCTGTGGGGCGGGCACGTCACCTCTCTGGCTCTCGGATTCCACACACCACCCGTAAATGGGCACAGACCCCACAGCCGCTGTAGCAGCAGAGAGCGGAGAACGGACACGGGATCCCCTGAAGATGCAGACCTGGGGACCCCGGCTCTGACCCGCTGTGGCAGGAAGGCGCCAGCCCCATCCCTGGCTGCCTGGGAAGGCGGGGGAGTCCTTTTCTGAGAAGCGGCGATTTAAGGCCAATAGCTCCCATGCTCTGAGCACCTGCAGTGAGCGGGGCACGGGGACACGTGTTTCCAGGAGTTATCAAGAGGCCACAGAACACGCACGTACAAAACCTAGACTTTGGAGCCGGAATGCCTGGCTGCGAACCTGACTGCCACCCGTGACTGAGTGTGTTAGTTTGTTGGGGCCGGAATAACAAAGCACCGCCCACTGAGCGGTTTAACCAACAGAAATGTATCATCCCACAGTCCGGAGGCTGAAAGTCTGAGATCAAGGTGTTGGGAGGGTTGTCTTTTCTGAGGGCCGTGCGGGAGAATGTTCCGGGCCTCCCTCCTAGCTTCTGGTGGTTTGCTGGCAAACTGGGGCATTCTCTCTGTGGCCGTGTCTGTGTCCACATTTCCCATTTTTATTTTATTTTATTTTATTTTATTTTTCAAAAAATGTTTATTTATTTTTGAGAGAGACAGAGAGAGCGGGGGAGGGGCAGAGAGCCAGGGAGACACAGAATCCGAAGCAGGCTCCAGGCTCTGAGCTGTCAGCACAGAGCCCTAAGCAAGGCTCGAACCCATGAACCACGAGATTATGACCTGAGCCAAAGTCGGATGCTTAACTGACTGAGCCACCCAGGTGCCCCTCCCCTTTTTATAAGGACACTGGTCATATGGGATTAAGGGTCCTCTCTACTTCAGCCTGATTTCATCTTAACTAATTATATGCAGTGAGCATATATTTAAATAAGGTCAGCTTCTGTGGTAGGGGGTGGTTAGGATTTCAATTTAGGGGGGAGGGCACAGTTTAACCCATAACAGTATGTGACATGGGCTATTCTTTTTTTTTTTAATTTATTTAAATGTTTTTTAAGTTTATCTATTTTGAGACAGCAAGCACACAAGGAGGGAAGGGGCAGAGAGAGAAGGAGAGAGAATCCCAAGCAGGCTGCAGGCTCTGAGCTGTCAACACAGAGCCCGATGTGGGGCTCGAACCCACAAACCATGAGATCATCACCTGAGCCAAAATCAAGAGTCAGACACTTAACCCACTGAGCCAGCCAGACGTCCCCGACATGGGCTATTCTGAGCCTCGGTTCCCCTACCTGTATAATGGAGACATTACCTAACACAGAAGCCCATCTTGAGCACTGGATGAGTTACTACACGTAAAGCACACACCTCTGGCACTCCACGACTGTTAACTATTATCGCATTTCATCTTTTGTCACAACCCTGTCCTCCCCTATCCTCTAGAACACAGTCACAGCCAGAGCTGGCGGGTCACCTGAACTGGTAAAGTGGGCTGACAGTGTTGGGGTCCAGGAGGGTAGGTCAGTAAAGACCCCCGTTTGTTTATTTATTTTTTCTTATTTTTTTAATGTTTATTATTTTTTGAGAGACAGAGAGAGAGACAGAACATGAGCAAGGGAGGGGAAGAGAGAGAGGGAGTCACAGAATCCGAAGCAGGCTCCAGGCTCTGAGCCATCAGCACAGAGCCCGACGCGGGGCCCGAACCCACGGGCTGTGAGATCGTGACCTGAGCCAAAGTTGGCCGCTTAACTGACTGAGCCACCCAGGCGCCCCAAGGCTCCTGTTTATTGAAAGACATTTCTCCTCAACATTGTTACACTCAGCGGGCTGGGCCGAGCAGAACCCACCTCTGCCCCGTGTGAAACTCACCTGTTGGGGATGGCGTTCTCTGTCGCTTTTGGTGTTAATGAAAAAATAAATGTGTCACAAATAACACGGGTCTTTAAATTCCCATATTCTGGTCACTGGCCCCTCCTACCCTCTCACTGTGGCTGTTATGAACTTAAGTGTGCCCCCTCCGCAAATTCACATGTTGAAGCCCTAACCCCCAATGTGACTATGGGGCCTTTAGGGAAGTTAATTAAAGTTCCATGAGGTCATACAGGTTGGGTCTTAACCTCACAGGAATGATGTCCTTACAAGAAGAGGCAGAGACACCAGAACCGCCTGTCTCCCTCTTATGCACAAAGAGCCCATGTGAGCACAAGGTGAGAAGGTGCCATTTGCAAGCCAGGAAGGGAGATCTCGCCAGCAACCACATGGGATGTCACCTTGATCTTGGACTTTCAGCCTCCAGAAAAGGGAGAAAATAAATGTCTGCCGTTGAAGCTCCCAGTCTATGCTATTTTGTTATGGTAGCCTAATTAGCAGGCTAATGCACGGGGCATCGTGCCCTGAGACCAGCGTGCCCCCCAAACCTTTCTCTTCGGAACTTACCCGGCCTCTGCCCCCTTCCCGAGTGGCAAGGAGAGTCAGGGGCTGCCACAGACTTTCTCCAGATTCTCAAGAGATTCCTGGGGCGCCTGGGTGGCGCAGTCGGTTAAGCGTCCGACTTCAGCCGGGTCACGATCTCGCGGTCCGTGAGTTCGAGCCCCGCATCAGGCTCTGGGCTGATGGCTCGGAGCCTGGAGCCTGTTTCCGATTCTGTGTCTCCCTCTCTCTCTGCCCCTCCCCCGTTCATGCTCTGTCTCTCTCTGTCCCAAAAATAAATAAAAAACGTTGAAAAAAAAAAAAAAAAAAGAGATTCCTTACAATATAGGCTTAGAAAGCGATACACGGGACGTGTCTATGAACAGCTGGAGAAGTCCTTCCTGTCTTGGTTAACCCCATCTTTCCCCAATGCTTCCATCTGGAGCCCATTTGGGGGTATTGATTGTACCAGGATCCTGTCGCTGCTGTAATCAATTATTACAAATTTAGTGGCTTAAAACGACAAGCATTTATTCGCTGACAGTTCTGGAGGTCCAAAGTCCAAAATGGGTCTTGCTGGGTCAACATCAAGAAGTCAGCAGGGCTTTCTTCTGAGGGTCCCTGGCCCATGGCCCCACGTCGCAGCTTTCTCTCCTGTTTCCGCGATCACGTCGCCTTCTTCTGATTCTGGTTTCCCACTGCCTTCCCTTGTAAGGACCCCTGTGATTACAGTTAGGGCCCACCTGGGTAATCTGTGACAGTCTCCTCCCCACCCCCATTTCAAAGTCCCTTTAGGGACACACTCGCAAAGTCCCTTTAGTCACAGGAGGCGACATTCACAGGTCCTGGGTATCAGGATGGGGATGTCTTTGCGGGACACGGTATCCATCCCGGCACAGGTGTTCACATGATTCCCACCCTGCAGAACATAGTTTAGGAATCTCTAGGTTATGAAAGGAAAGACTTTCGCTAGGTCACATGGCCTGGGGACAGACGACACCAAGCTTCCCCCTTGCTAACGCTTCTCCTTAGCTGTGTGCCTGTGGGCTGATTGCTTAACCTCTCTCTGCTTCTGTCTCCTCAGTGATTTGATGGGGGTGCTGGTACCCACCTTCCTGCACGTGCGGAAGGTGCTGAGCCCAAAGCAAGTGCTTGATGTCTGGTAGTGACTGTGTTTATCTCCAGATTGAGGCCGAGCTCAGTCCCCTCCTGGTCACAGAGGTTGTAGAGGGACCCTTGCTTGCCGAACACCAAGATGGCATCCCTAGGCGATACCTGCCTCCTCCCACCCCCACCACCCCGTCTCCTCTGCCAGCTCCACACCCCAGCTCACCCACAAAACCTCTGGGTCGTGGCCATACCCGGGACTCCTCGGTATTAGGAAGCCGCAGCCATGGGGACCTTGGGAATGAAATAAGGGTTGAGCCAGCACCTGCCCCAGCATCTTGGAAATGCTCTTGAAAGGGTGGGGCTGTGCTTCAGAGCCCCAGTTTCAAGGTCGAAAAGGGCAGTCCAGATGAGCCCACAGAAATCCTAGATACGGCCCTTTTGTAAGAGCCCTGACTTTGAAGTTGGCGACCTGGGCCCTCGGACCCACTTTGTCCCTAATTTGATGCTTGATTCTGAAAAGTCCACTCATCTTTTTGAACCTCGATGCAGTTGTTAGTGCAGAGAGGGGACCGTTGTGACACGGTCAGCCCCTCTGGGTCCCACCAGACTCTCACCGTTGAACGGATCTGGTAAACACTGCCCAGGAATCCGGCAAGCACGTGGGGGGCTGTGGGGACCTTAGGCTCACACCACACTCCCCCCGATGTAGAGCTAAGCGGCTGCAGGAGACAGAGGAATCAGCCCGGAGAAAGAGATGTTTGCCAGACGGTGTCCCTTTCCCCGTGTCTGGAATGCCAGCAGCAGGTCGCTCCCCTGGGGACCCTGTGCCATTGCAGGCAAACGGGGGTCTGTGTGGGGCCGGTGGGGAAGCGAGCCCGGGTCAGAGCTCAGGTGGCTGTCCCTGCGGCCTGCCTGTTGGCTAGAATACCCACGGGACAGGACAGGGCTGGGCCAAGGGGGGGCGGAGTCAGAGCCCGACTGTGGTCAGTGACAAATGCTGGTTCCTGCCCCATAGGCTCTCTGCTTTACACTGAGCGTGAGGGACTGTCACCTGCGCCGTGTGCACGCTCGGCCATGGGACAGGGTGAGTACAGATGCCGTGGGCAGACGGAGGGCCCGGGGGCGTGAGGGTGTGCGTGGAACGGCGAGGACAGGAGGCTAGGGTTATGGGATTTGGAGGGCTTCAAAGCTCTGGTGCTGTCCCAGAGTGAACAGGAAAGTTCCCCGCAGTGAGGGGAAAGGAGCCAGGGCCTGTGTGCCCCTCTCCCAGCTGTGTGAACTCAGGCACGACTCTAAATCTGCCTGCGCCTCAGTTTCCTTGTAGGTGAGATGCAAATGATCACATCTTCTGCGTGGCGACCGTGAGGGTCCAGGGATACGGTAGCTCTCACCCGGGAGTGCCTTTATCCCCAGGGCACGTCTGGCAACATCTGGACACATGTGTAGTTGGCACAACTGGAGAGAGGGTTGTGTTGGCATCTAGCGAGTAGAGTAGAGGCCGGGGGCGCTGCTAAACCCCTTACAGGGCACGGGACAGCCCCCACGACAAAGAATACCCCGGCCTCTAATGCCAACAGCGCCGAGGCAGACAAACTCAGAAATGACGTAGTGGGGACAGAGTGTGTGGCACACAGGCGGGTTCCCCGGAGGCCATCGCTTTTCTCTCTTGTGTTCTGTGCCTGCAATCTCGGACCTCTAGCAATCACGAGAAGCGATCACGTACCCGTTTACCTGTTTCCCCGAGTTGGGGCCGCCCTGCCCGGAGGGCTGCCTCCCAGAATGACCACAGTGGCTCCTCGAGGGCCAGACGCCGCTTGGCTGTTGGTGAAATAGGCAACACGTAGACACAAAAGGAGTGTGATTTTCAGTGTTTCTAAGGACGGGGCCCTTGGCAAGAAATGTAACCATAAAAGGGGACGATGCACCCCTGACCAACGTCCCCGTTCACTGATCAAGAAGCCGCAGCGTGAAGAATAAGGTGGCGGGCGGGGCGGGGGGGGGGGTCAGGACGTGGTGGGTGTTTGTGGTGAAGGTGGTTTCGCAGGTGTGCAGGGTAAATAGGAGTGGCTTCTCGTATGGCAGTCGCGCCTCAGGAAAATGGTCTTAAAAAAAGTAAAAGGAAAACAGAAGGTGAACAGCAGGGTGGGAGGTGTTCAAGGTCACCTGGCAGAGTTAGCCCTGGGGCCAGGAGGGCTCAGCCCTGGGTGCCCAGCCCGGCTCCGCGTCCAGCGTGTGTGCTCTAAAACCTCTGAGCCACAGAGAAGGACTTCACTCATTCATTCATTCATTCATTCCACAAAGGTGTCTGAGCTCCATCGCTGACTGCAAATCTCACGGCAAGAGCAGGTGTCGATGCGGGTCCTGTCTGTTAGGAGCACTTGTTCGAGTCGGGGGGAGAGAGGCCGGGACACAAGAAGGCACGATGTGGGGTTGCATTTCCATCGCTGATGGAGCAGTGAGCGAAACGGAGGGGCCGTGATAAGAGAATGCTACTGCAGCGGGAGGGCCAGGCAGGGCCACGGCATCACCCAGAAGTGGCATTCAAGCAGGGGCCTGAGGCCCAGGGAGAAGCTGGCCGTGGTCAGGGAGGCTGACAGAGGGTTCCAGGGGACAGCACGGCGTGCAAAGCCTCAGGACTGTGACGGGGCTTGTCTGCTGAGCTGAGAACTGTACCCGGAGGACACACGTGAACAAGGACAGAGCAGATCAGGCTGAGGCTGGGGAGAGCCGGGCGGAGCCAGACCACACGGGGCCCGGTGGTGATCGCACGGATCGGCTAGGTCCTGCCCCACACACGGAGGCTGGCAATGGCACTCCTAGGCGGCAGGGCGCTGAGACCCAGTCGGGGACCGAGGGAGAATCCTTCAGATGCCGTGTGTAGAATGGGTCTGGGGGCAGGAGGAGGTGTGGGGTGGTCAGGGCGAAAGGCGGCAGGTTTTCTATAAGGACGTGGCAGGGAATACTGGGAGAGGCAGGCAGGCGGAAGACCCGTTCTGGAGCTAGAAACCGACAAGCCTTGCAGGTGGTCTGGGGACGGGGAGGGAGGTGAAGAAAGTTCCCTAGGTCACTGCTCCCAGGAAGCTCTCCGGCGTCCGGTCCTTAAGCATCCAGGGGAGCCTGGGGTTTTGTCTTTCCCTCCCTGCCTGGGCTCTCAGTCGTACATGTCCCTTTTCAGCGGACAGACCTCCTCAGCCACACCTCCCCCCGCAGAGTCCAAAGTTGACCCGGTAGGACTTTGTTGCCTCACCTTTGGAGTAAATGCAACAGATTTCGAATCCCTGGACGGTGGGCTCCATGGGAGGACTTCCTCAGCACCCGTCCACCCCCTGCCCTCACCAGCCGGCTCAAGTCACTTTGGCCTGGGATGCCAGATGGACTTGATTGATCTGCCCCCCTCCCTCGGACCCGTGGGGGCATTTCTGCAGAAACACTGGCATCAGGAGGGGGTCGGCCAGGCCCGGCTCCGGTCTCCTGGCTGAGAGCTGGTCTCCCAAGAGCCAGGCTCCCAGGACCCGAAGCAGACTCACCCCCGGGTCCAGGTTGGCATGAAACTCTGTCAACTCTGTCATTTCCACCAGAGGCCCAGCAGCGGGATGGCACAGCCTGGGCTTAAACGTAAGAAACATGAAATGAGCACCCCGAGGCCTCCACTTTCTCAGAAGCGATCTCTCTGACCCTCTGTTTCCTCTTCTGTACCAATGATGAGAACGATACCGACTCCGTGTTGCTGTGGAGGCATAGAAATGAGCTAATACAGGTGAATGGCTTGCGAGAGACCCCGGGAAGCTCACCAGGAGCTACAGGAGAAGAGGAACGAGAGCTCTTACTTCTTAGAGCCACGAAAGGAGGACAAGAGGCAGTGGATCCACCAGACTCAGGAATCTGGATTTGAATCCTGGTTCCATCATCACTCACCGGCTGGCAAGAGCTATTCCATTTTGCTAAGCCTCAGTTTAGTCATCTGTAAAACGGTGCCCATAATGTTCACTTTTGTTGACGGTTGAATGTAGTGATATTTGTAGAGTGGCCTTTCTAAATACTGGCTTTAACAAAAGATAAGAGCGGGCCCAAATGGAGAGAGGTTTCTAGGTCCCCACCTGCAGCCTGGAGGAGAGTGAGTGAGGCTGGGGTCCCCTCCAGAGAGACCCCACTCCCCAGGGAGACTCTGTGGGCTCTGGCCCATCAGGCCTAGACCTCTGGTGTCTGTGGGGGGCAGTGGAGGGAAGAAGGGTTACCGGCCACAGTAACTGACAGACCTTGAGTTATTTGTGAAGAAACTGAGGCCCAGAGAGGGGATGGGACTGGCCCAAGGCCACCAGGCAGGCCGAGGGACAGGAGGCCAGAACTCTCCTGCGGGAGTCAACTGCCTCTAGGCCCCAGCCAAGCAGGAAACTCCCTCTGTGCCTGCAACTATTCTTTGAAGGCCTTTCTTTTAGGGTGATCATGAGCTCGGGGTTAATCTTTGATAATAAGGGGGAGGAGAGCTGCGTATCTTGTCCACCAGGATCTCGCTACGGTGATGGTTCTAACACTTTGCAGGAGGGATCATATTGTGCTGCAGAACAGACTGTTTTAAAGGGCCCCGAGATTAAACCACCCGTGTCCTTGAAAGACTGGCATTCTCAGCGTGTAAACAATAAGGGAGTGTCAGCCTGGGAAGCCCGGACCCTGTTTCTTAATTATCTGCAGATTAGCAGCTATAGTGGTGGCTGCTGAGGCCGGGAAGACAAGGACTGTGACACAGAGAGCCTGTGCCCCAGAGGGGGGGGGGGGGCCAGGGATGTGGGGAAACCAAATGGTGTGGTGGTTTAGAGCATCGGCCTTGAGCATCAGCACCGGGTCTGGGCCCACGCTTTGCCACTATCAGCCAGTGACTCAAGCTCTCTGGGCTTCAGATTACCCATCTGCAGAATGGCGCCAGTCGAGGAACCAAAGGCTTCTCTCTTTGGTCCTGGGTGGCCGCAGCTTCCACGGACGACATTCTAAATGGGCTTCCTTTATGAGCTCAGGGGCAATTTGGAGGCCAGGGTTGGTGAGCGCGGCCTGCTCAAGTCGCTGGGCTTCGCTCAAAGACAACGGCCGCCCAGGTCCGCCTGGCCCAAGCTCACTGGCGCCCCGGCCGCCACCTCAGCGGGCCACTTTGCACGCCACGTCCAATGCAGATGTTTGGGGCCCTTTGGGGGTTGGGTTTGCGTGGGTCACGGGACTCCGGCAGGGCCCTGAGGCTGGGGACCTGATGACATGGTGTCCGAGGAGGGAGAAGACCCAGCTGGAGGGAGTTCTCACCCCGGAGAAAGGCTGTCGTCAGCGGTCAGGCAGGCCGGTGCGAGAGCGTTGGGAGCGCGTACCCCACGCGTACAGCAGAGGAAATGGGGACCTCTGGGGGGGGGGGGGTGGCTGGAAGCCGCCACAGCCACAGCTCGCACTCTACTGCACCAGGTCCGCGCGGGGCCCTGCTGCGACACTTCAGGCACGTCGAGTCCTTAAAGCCCCCAGCCACGGCCGACACGGGTTAACGTCATCACCTCCGTTGTACAGGTGAGGGACAGTGGCACGGGGCCGTAGGTGACTTGCTCCAAACCACACTCACAAGAAGCAGCCGGGCTGAGACTTGAGCCCAGGAGGCTGGGCTGCAAGGGACTGTGAACACAGGGGGCTTCGGGAGGCCTCTGGGGCACAGGAAGCGCTCCTGGTTGGAGAGGAGGGGTCTAGGTAGATGGACCCGAGGGAGGAAAGGGGGAGGAGGGACTGAAGACCCTCCAGGGCCCACGTAGGGGGCGGAGGAGACACAAGAAACAAAGGCGTCCTCGTCTGGGGGACGGAAGGAAGGAGATCGGTGTCGGCTGGGCCACCACAACAAAGCACCACAGAACAGAAGGTTCCTGTCTCGCTGCCTGGAGGCCCGAAGTCTGAGGTCAAGGTGCCGGAGAGGCCGGTTCCTTCTGAGGCCCGTCTCCTCGACTTGCAGACGGCGGTGTCCTCCCTGTGTCCTCCCGCGGCCTTCCCTCCGTGCGTGTGCGTGTGAAGCTGTGTTCCCATCTCTTCTTCTCATCGGACCCCAGTCAGATGGGATCAAGGCCCGTCCACAGACATCATTTTGACTTAATTACCTGTTTAAAGGCACTTTCCCCAAGTACAGTCACGTCCTGAGGTGCTGGGGGTTAAGACCTCAACCCAGGAGGGTGGGGAACACAATTCGGCCATCACAGAATAGGGGAGGAGTCTGGGTGCTCACATTAAGAGGGCAGGATTTCCTCACAGGGGGGCGGGGTGGAGGGAGCTGGGGAGGGGCTCTGATGAGGAGCAAGGTTGGCTGCAGGGTCCTAGAGCAACCCCTGGGGGGGAAGGAGAAAAGGGGCCGATTGGCATCCGAGTGGTCACGAATGAGCCTCGGGAGCCTGGCCCCTGCCCGCCATGATGTTCGATGTCCGTTTGCTGAGCAAACAGGGATAAATCCAACAGTTCTGAGGGGTCCGTGGGGCGTAGTTGGTCTGAGTTCACGGAAGGACCATGAGGCCTTGCAAATGCTACCCCCAGGGGATTGGAGTGACCGTCACAGGCCACTTTGGAAGCAGGCGTCTCGTGCCGTGGCCATCTCAGAGATGCTGATCAGGCAGAACGAGGAGCGCCGTCCAGCCCCACGTCGCCCCCTCCCCGTGACGCGCACCCTGGTGCGGATGAGAGCATTCTCGCCCCGGGGGGCAGCCCCCACCTCGGGGCTGCACCCTCCGGCTTCCCCTTCCTCTCCCGCCGTGAGGCCCCCACGTCCCCCGGTCTCTGTCCTCGAGCCCCTGTGGCTCTTTTTAAACCCTCGCTCCCAACCTCACGGGCTCGTCGTCTCCGTGGATGCTGTGCGCTGGGTGGTGACATCTCTGGGGTACCGGCCTTACCCGCTTCCCCCCGGTCTCCTCTCTGAGGACACCTTCCCACTTTCCCTTTCAGGACGGGGCTCGGCCACAATGCCGCTCTGCCTCCTCTTCTGCCTGATGTTCCTCAGCCCGCCCGGGGCCACCCTGCACCGCCATGGCTCCCGGGAGACAAAGAAGAGGGTCAAGGAGGCACCCGTGGTCAGCACGGTGGCCCCCATGAGCGGGGACTTTGCCTTCGATCTCTACAGGGCCTTGGCTACAGCTGCCCCCGACCAGAACATCTTCTTCTCCCCTCTAAGCATCTCCGCGTCCCTGGCCATGCTGTCCCTGGGGGCCCGGTCCGACACGAAGGCACAGATTCTAGAAGGCCTGGGCCTCGGTCCCCAGGCGGGCTCGGAGCAGGGGCTCCACAACTCCTTCCGCCAGCTGCTGGGGGAGCTCGCCCGGCCCAGAAAGGGCCTCCGGTTGCACCTTGGCAACGCTCTGTTCATCAGCCCCACGGTGCCCGTCCAGGACGCCTTCCTGAGTGCCGTGAGGACTCTGTACCTGGCAGACACTTTCCCTGCCCACTTTGGGGACCCCGCAGGGGCCCAGAAGCAGATCAACGACTACGTGGCAAAACAAACTGAAGGCAAGATTGTGGACTTAGTTAAGGACCTGGATAGCACTGAGGTCATGGTTATGGTGAATTACATTTTCTTTAAAGGTAAGACCCCTGCGCTCGAGCCTGAACTCTCTCCTTTCTGCTGCTTTGGTCAAGAGAGCACCCCGTTCTCACACATACAGGAGTGGGCGTAGATTTAGTCCCCTCTGGTGCCTGTTGACAGAGTGAGGCCAACAAGCAGGAGAGGGGAAGCCAAGCATCTTTTTATGGTGTAAGGTGATGTCAGCTACACCAGGCCGCTGTTTCCTCCACTGAGGAAGTGCTGGGTCCTGTCCGTGGGCCCCGGTCCATAGCATCCACACTGGTTCGAAAGCATGAGATCGCCATGGCCACCGTATTGCTATTGAGGGCAGGACCGTGGGTCTCGGGGGGGCTTGGAATACCTTCCCTTGGGGAGCGTCTTCCTCGGGGCCATTCCCTCGGCCGGAGAAATCTCTCAACAAGCACCTGTCCCTTTGGAGAGTCTTCTCCCCGCTTCCATAACAGCTGGTCCCTCCCTGACATTTCTCGGGGACACCCCTCCCCCACTCGGTGCTCACGTCTGCTTCTCCTTCTACACGCTGAGCCCCTCGGTGCCTGTATGGGGCCTGGCTGAGGGTGGGAAGGCAGGAGTGGGTAGAGGAGGGGAGGGGAGGGAGAGAGGAAAGAGGAAGCTAGTTAACCTGTTAAACACCTCCCCTCTTCCGACGAGCACGGATGGCGAACACCCAGCTGGGCTTCCAAGATTTCTTGTCCCCTAGTGCAGGGCTCTGTCTATGACACCAGGCTGCAGGGGACAGGTGTGACAGAAGCCGAGTGGGGCACTGGGGTGGGTTCCGTATTTGATGACTATGAAGAAGATGGAAACAACTACTTGTATCCCGTTGATGCAAGAGTGAAGGAATCAGACAGAGCAGTAACTATACCGGAAGGCTTCTCAGTAGGAAGAATCATGTATTTCCAGGAACCTTACAAACCTCCCTCCCACACTTAGATCAAAATCCACAAATGGGAAAAGAGCGGAGAACAGAACAACTCAGCCAGATAGGGTGTCGCTTTGTCAGACGTCCATATTTTTTACCCTCTTCCCTTGGATGTTTGACCTCGAGTAACATCAGAGAATCAAACAAACAACCTTAGCGGTTCAGGGCCTCCGAAGACATGGACACCAGCCTCCTGGCTCTGCACACGCAGAAGGAAAAGCCCCACAGAAGGTTCAGGCATGTCTCCAAAGTTCTAGAAAGGTGAGCCTTTCTTTCCCCAGGGTTCGGCGGTCACCGCCACCGAGGAGACTTCGCCGAGGAGGGTGAGGTCTGTTTGAGGGAGGCGTTTGCTGTCTCTGTGCTTTTCGTCTGTGGCTGAGAATTGCTCCCTTTTTTCCATGTTAATATTTAGCTAAGTGGGAGGCGAGCTTCGACCACAAAAACACTCATAAGCAGGACTTCCACGTGACTTCGGAGACGGTGGTGCAGGTGCCCATGATGAAGCACAAAGACCTGTATTATTACTTCCTGGACCGGAGCCTCTCCTGCCGGGTGGTGGGGGTTCCCTACCAAGGGGACGCCACCGCCCTGTTTGTTCTCCCCAGCCAGGGCAGCATGGGGCGGCTGGAGAATGGACTGAATGAGAAGACATTGAGGACGTGGCTCAAGATGTCCACAAAGAGGTATTCCTCAGATGACGTGGGGCCAGCCTGACCCTGCACATGGCCACGGAGACACGGGGGGAGTGGGAAGGACTCCTCCCAGCCCAGGGGCTGCCTCCAAGCCCAGGGAAACCACGTGAAGTCTTAGCCTCCGGGGCCCTGGCCCAGCTGGAGGGAGCAGGGCCGGAAGCCCAGTGTCCCAGGGTGCCATCGGAGTGGGCGGGGAACTCTGGGGGCAGCCCAGGTCCCAGTGCAGAGTGGGGGGGGGGGAGCTCTAGACGGGAGGCTGAAGGGTCATTATGAAGCCGAGGGGAGATAGCGGGGAGATGAGCTCAGTGAGCCGATGCTCTGGAAGAGTCTAAGAAAGTTCCTCTCCTCTTTCCAGGCAGCTTGAGCTCTACCTTCCCAAGCTCTCCATTGAGGGCTCCTACCAGCTGGAGAAAGTCCTCCCCAAGCTGGGCATCAATGACATCTTCACCTCCCATGCTGACCTGACTGGCATCACCAACCACTCCAACATCCAGGTGTCTGAGGTGAGCTCAGAAGCTCCTGAGCCCCTGCTTTCAGAGATTTCTGTTCTGTTCTATTCTATTCTATTCTATTCTATTCCTTTCTACTCCACTCCACCCCTCCCATTCCATTCCATTCCATTCCATTCCATTCCATTCCATATTTTCCCTCTCTCTTTCACTCCCCTCTCTTCCTTCAAGAAGCAAAGGTACCCTTTGTGTCTTATCCTGTTCGCAATGTGTCTTAGGGGAAGGAGCCCCCCAATGAAGCCATCAAAACTAAGAATTAGGTGCTACCTCCTTCACTCACTAGCTGTGTGACCTCCAACAATTGCGTGACCTCTCTGAGCCTCTTCTCTCTACATAAAATTGGAGGCCCAATCACATCCCTGCCGGGAGGTGCCATGAGCATTCAATGGGAGGCCCATGTGCAGTCACCTCCAGGCACAGATCCTAGCCACACAATCGTCCCGTGTGCTGCCTGCTTTGGGGCGCAGCCGCATGGAGACTTTGACGGTGATGCCACAGGCAGAAGCTCTGCGGGCTCCCGTGATGGTATCTTCCAGCCCCGGTGGCTTAGTGACACCCGATGTCTCCTCTGCAGATGGTGCACAAGGCCGTGGTGGAGGTGGACGAGTCGGGGACCAAAGCGGCTGCAGCCACAGAGACGGTCTTCATGTTCAGGTCGGCCCCAGTTAGCTCTCCCAGGGTCATCCTCAACAGGCCCTTTATCATGCTCATTGTAGAGAACTTCACGAACATTCTCTTCCTTGGCAAAGTGGCCCACCCCTGAGGTGGGTGTTTCCCCTGAAAGGCCACAGGCCTCCGTAGTGGCAGGTGAAGGCTCTGTGGCATCTATCCGCTGGGAGCTGATCCACACAGGTTCCGTTTCCTTGACTACTGAAGTTTTTACAAGTAATAACGATAATAGCACTGATATGCTGATGATTTGCTTCTTCTCACACAACCGCAAGGCGTGGGGGTGCCTTGAAGAAGAACGTTCGGTCTTGCCCTCGCCCTCCATCAGCGGGGTCTAGCACTGAGGCCCAGAGAGGCTGGTTGACTTGCCCAAGGTCACACAGCATGTTAGCGATAGAGAGGCACCCACAGCCCAGGCACCTGACGCCCAGCCCAGTGACGCAAAGCTCTGTGGGATTGCTGCGGTTCACATCTCTACCGAGAAACGTTTATTTCCAAGCCCAGTCCTCCACCTGCTAGTAATACGGGCTATCAACTCATCGCGGTTTAAAATCCATCATGCTTCCCGTGCGTGGTTGCATTTATCTGCTGGAAAGAACACTGAAATGGGAGTCCGGAATGGGGCTTCTGTCCCAGCTAACCAGCTGTGGGACATAAGGCTAATAGTGTCCCTCTCTGGGCCTCTATTTCTCCCATATACACAACGCAGGGTCAGCTCAAGGGCTGAAGGCTCCTTGACATCATATAAGGAGGCTGGGGTGTTCCGTGCCAGTCACGGTGGATTTTAATACATTCAAGTGCTACTTGTCATTGAAGAAAAGCCAGTGGACCGCAGGGCGGAAATGGCCCATCACAGCACCAAAACCATCCTGTGGCTTCAGTCACAACCTCCTGGAGTCGGCTGGGGGCGGGAGGACGGAGGCCTGTTGCAAATACTAGAGGGATCAGTTGAAGATACTGGTGACTGAGAGTGCGTTGTAGTGTCAGCAATAACAATAAAGCATTTTGCAAACACTGGATGTCCGACGGAAGTAACTCTGGGAATGGAGACACTAGCCCCTGGGGACACTTTGCATCTGTGTGAGCTCCTGAATCCCTCGACAGCCCTGCACAGCGTATCAGGGCACCCATTTCGCAGACAGGACATAAGGTTTGCCCCGAGACCCAGGACGGTGAGAGGCTCAGGCTCTGGGACCTGGATGGCACAGGTGTTGGCTTATGGCGGGACAGATGGCTGCAGCTGGCCCCAGAGCGCTCACCTGCCTCTGTGTTTCGAACTCAGGACAGCGCTTTAGGATTGGGCCTCCTCGTGGGGTCACGCCCGCTCCTGTGTGCCTTTCCCTTGCAAAGTGCATTTTCTGCCCCGGCAGACGTTTCTCTCACTGTCTGCCCTGCCAGTCCAAGGTCAGGGGTAGGCCCTGCCTGGCTGATGAGTGTAAGGCCAAGGTCCAGCGTTGTCTAAAGGTCACTGGGCACATGGCCACCAAACGGGTACTGTGTGTGAGGTTGGGATGGGCTCCAGGGCCGCTGCCTGTCACTGCTGAAGCTCCCTGCTGACTGTCATTGCGGGCCACGTAACTCCATTTGTCTCGCGATCCTGGGATCGTTGAACAAATGATATGGCAACTGGGAGACAGAGAGAGACAGAGTAAGGGGGGGGTGGTGGGCGGGGGGAGGTCAGGAAAGCTCTCTCCGAACAGGTGGTGCAGAGCTGGTCTGGAGGAGTAAGTAGGTCTGCAACAGACGGCAGGCTGGGCGCAGGGGTGGGACTCCGGCAGAGGGAAGGGCTGGGGAATGGTGTTGAGCGAGCTGCAGAGTGTGGGAACCGCGGGCCTTCGGTCGCCACCCGTGCAGGCGCTTGCGGTCGGGCCCCAGGGACCCGGACCACCAGGCTGGTGTCTGTTCTCTCTCGTTCCGATTTCAGGGTCGTATGAATACCCGGGCCACACCCTGAGCGCCCCCTGAACCCCTTGTGTCCCTCAGGCTCCCACCGGCAGGTAAGCGCAAGCCCCCACTCAGCCCTCTAGGGGGCGCGCGCGCACCCATACACCTGCGCCCCCGGAGCCCCCGCCCGCCCTTTCTTCTCTTGGCCTCGTCCATCCTGTCTGGTGAACTAAGGGGATGAATGGGTCTGCGGGACCTCACATGCAGGCATGACCGTCCTCCTCGGGACCCTCTTTCTTAGCCACTGTGTTAGGCTGCCAGGGCCGTCGTAACGAAGTACCACGACCAGGGCTGCTTAACAGCAGAAATTAATGTTCTCACAGTCCTGGAGGCTGGAGCCTGAGATCCGGGTTCCTCCTGAGGCCCCTCTCCTTGGCTGGGCTCGCAGATGGCCTCCTCTCTTTGTGCCCTCACATGGTCCTCCCTCGCGGTGTACTAACCTCCTCCTCCGTCTCGCGGCCTCCACCGGTCAGATTGGATCGGAGCCCACCCTACCGGCCTCACTTTAACTCAATCCCCTCCTGAAAGGGCCTTCCTCCAAGTACAGCCACATTCTGAGGTGCTGGGGGCTAGCTCAACAAATGAACTCGGCGGGGGACACAACGTAGCCCGTGACAGTCGCTTACCTTTGAGTTCCTGCAGCTATTGCCAAGTCAGTCTTGTTCTTGGGAACGCACTTTTATTCCCCCCCTCCGGCCACATGGACTCTCGGGACCTCCCCCTTGCGACTCCCCTGCCACCGGAACGTGGAGGACCATGCTAAGCCGAGGACTCCTTCCCCCACCTCTTCTGTAGAGACTCAGACCAGAAAAATGACCTTGGGCTCCAAGAGGAAACACTTCCCACCCAATGAGCAGCCCTGCCCATCCCATTCTCGCTTACTTAGCTCTTTCACCCAAAGGCCATTGGTGCCTTCAGCACCCTTCAGCCCAAGGGTGCTGAAGGGGACTCGGGCATGGAAGCCGTACAAGGGCACAGCGGTGCATCCAGCAGACGCGGGCTCTGGCCATACCAGGTAAACAACCAGATAAATAGGATTGTAAACTGGCGAGGACAATTTGTTCGTCCACAGGTGTTTATGAATGCCCATCGTGTATCTGGAACCGTCCGGGGTGTTGGAAATAAGCGAAGAACACCACAAAAGTCCCTGCCCTGGTGGGGCTCCATTCTTGTGTGGACAGGCAATAAAATAAAAAAAATAACAAAGAATAAAATAGGAAAGAAGAGTAAACAATGCATGTTCGGTGCGAAGGAACCTGAGCTTGATTGAGCGACTTGCTTGCTTCTACAAACAGAGCCCAGGGAGGAATGGGGAGCCGTGGTCAGTGGAGAGATCTGACGCCCGCTACCCTGACTAAGTGGTCAAAACCCTAACCCCCAACTGGATGGGGTTGAAGGTGGGGCCCTTGGGAGGTGATTAGATCACGAGGGTGGAGCCCCCATGAATGGCATTTGTATATACACGTATATTTTTTAAGTTTATTTATCTATTTATCTACTTAGAGAGAGAGCATGAGAGACAGATGGGAAGGGGCAGAGAGAGAGAGAGAAAGAGAGAGAGAATCCCAAGCAGGCTCCATACTGCCAACACAGAGACCCACCCGGGGTCCGATCCCATGAACCGTGAGCCAAACCAAGAGTCAGACGCTTAACCGACTGAGCCACCTAGGCGACCAGCAGTTTGTGCCCTTATAAGAGAGACCGCAGAGAGCTCCCTCACTCCTTCCAGTGGGACAGCACACCCAGAAGCCTGTGACCGGGAAGAGGGTGCTCATCTGACCACGCTGGCCCTGACCTCAGACCTCCAGCCTCCAGAAGTGTGAGAAGTACATTTCTGTTGTTTACAAGCCGCCGTCTGTGGTCTTCTGAGCAGCAGCCCGAGCCGCTGGAGACACCCGGGGAACTGTCACAGCCCAGGGGAGACTGAGGAGACGTGGAAATTACATGCAATGCGGTTTCCTGGACGGGATCCGGGAAGAGAAAAAAGGGCGTTAGTGGAAAAACTGGTGAGATACAAATAAACCTGCACCATACCAACGTTCGCGTCTTCGCGTCGATGAATACGCCATGGTTACACAAGACGATTCTGTCACCGGAACTCTCCGCACTGTTTTTACACCTTTTCCATGCATCTCAAGTCATTTCAACGTAAAAAGTTGTTTTCTTTATTTTTTTTTTAATTTTTTTTCAACGTTTATTTATTTTTGGGACAGAGAGAGACAGAGCATGAACGGGGGAGGGGCAGAGAGAGAGGGAGACACAGAATCGGAAACAGGCTCCAGGCTCCGAGCCATCAGCCCAGAGCCCGACGCGGGGCTCGAACTCCCGGACCGCGAGATCGTGACCTGGCTGAAGCCGGACGCCTAACCGACTGCGCCACCCAGGCGCCCCAAAAGTTGTTTTCTTTAGAAAAATGTGACAAAAAAAGCAAAGGAAAAAAAAGTGAAAGAAAAGAGGAAAGAAGAGAGGAAAGAAAAGCAGATGAAGGGATAGAAATGGGATCGGGGTTGTAAAGACGGAAGCAGGAGGCCACTTCCGGAAGAGAAGGGATGCCTAGAGAGACAGCTGGGGAGACCTTCTGCAGCCGGGGGTCCGGAGGGAGCTCCGAGGTGGTGGCCTTGAAGCCGAGATCCGAGGGAGAAGCAGGTTGGAAGTGGCAAGGACTATGAACAACGACCCAGAGGTGGGAGAGTGTGTCCTGTTCACAGAGCTGAGTCTCACGCCTCCACCAACACCCGTGTCCCTGTACAAGGTGCTGGCGGCGGGGGGGGGGGGGGGGCGGGGTGGGGGGACAGTGATAATACCAGGTAGCACTTGGAAGCCATCTGCCGCATGCCTGACACTGCTCTCCACCCCCTGCAAGTTTCATCTCAGTTAACAGAAAGTCAGAGAGTCACCTGCTGCAAGGGACTGGGGATGGCAAACAGGTGACATCAGTGCCCTTCTCCACTTTTCCGCGGAACCGCACCCCGAAACAGACCATCTCCCACCTTTCCACAAGCAACGAGGTGGGAGGGAGGTGGCACTAAGTTAGCAACAGCTACAGACCCCAAATTCCAGGTCCTTGGACCCCTTGGGACAATCCAGCGTGATTTTCCACGGAGACACACGGAGTACAGATAATGAGACACTCCTACCTACACCCTTCTGTGCACACGTCTGCACACGCAAACACACACGTGTGCACACGCATGCACGCGCACACCCAGCCTGCTGGCGAGCGGTGGCTGGGCAGTGGCTGATCCAACGCCATTATACTGAGAGCTGAGCATTCACGGTTATGCCTGGGGGTCGGGGGGGGTCCCCCAGAGTCTTTTCTCTGAGACCCTGCTCCTCCCTCAGCCTCCCACAGAGGCTGCCGGGTACCATCTGTGGATTTGATCACGTGTCTCATTCCTTCCCAGATGGTAAGAGCCCCAGGCCGGGGTGGGAAGGTAGATCTGGGGGGTGAAAGAGTATGAGAGGTGGGTCGGGACATGGGGACATGGGGGTCCGAGCCTCTGCTCCCACAAGTGCTGAGCAAGGTGGTCGTGGGCAAGCAAGGCCCACGCAGCAAGGCCACGCCTCTCTTGCACAGAGGAAACGATTGTAATGACACCCAGTGGCCAGGCTGTTTGAAGGCTAGAAGCAAATCAGGCAAGGGAGGCAGCTTTGACCCTGCAGAAGCGTTTCTCAAACATAACTTGGGGAGCTGGTTGAAAGTTCATATTCCTGATTCCACCCAAGGAATCGAAATGTTTGGGGCTGGGCATCTAACGGCTCGAAGAACACTTCCGCAGGATTCTGCCCAGAGGTCCCTGTCTGGGGAGCATTCCGGATGCCCCCCCAGCCCGGCCCTGGAATCCCAGCTCCCCATGCCTCCTCCTAACACCTTCCACACCATACAGGTACCGTCTTTCGGTGTGTTTGGGTCTCTTTATAGACCACGAGGTCCGTAAGGGCCCTGAATCATTTCTACACCCCAGTGCCTGGCACGGGGCTTGGCCCGGAGTGGACTCCTGTTGGATGAATGAATGAGGGGATGGCCAGCTGGTTCCACAGGATTCTGTGCCTCTGCAAGTCCTCAGGTC